CTATCTATCTATCTATCTATCTATCTATCTATCTATCTATCTATCTGTCGATCTATCTATCTATCTATCTATCTATCTATCTATCTATCTATCTATCTATCTGTCTGTGTGTCTGTCTGTCTGTCTGTCTGTGTGTGTGTGTGTGTGTGTGTGTATGTATGTATGTATGTATGTATGTATGTATGTATGTATGTATGTATGTATGTATGTATATAAAGATATATATAAAGAGATATTGAGATATATATATATCTCAAAGGAGTGACAGACAATTTATTATACACTTTATCAAAAAGGCATGCAAAATGTAAATAAAAGGTGCTCCACACAAGCTTCATAAAGGATATATATTTGGAGTATTCTTGTTCTTCCCAAGGCTATGGTCTCACTATGGTCTCAGGGAGAAAACCTAAAACAAAAAATGAAGTCAAAACCAGACTATGACAGGGTTTAGAACTACTGGCCTGAGGCAAAATCCAGCCATTCAGAGTCCAGCTTCAGCCCCCTGTGGTCCTCCATGTGACCATGTTCCCTTTCGATGACACCATTGCTTGGATTTTTATGCATCTTTGAAAAAATCCCCAAATGCTGAAATTAATTACTGTAATTAAGAGTGTTGATCTCAAATAACCTGAAATGTGCTAGCATTATTTCTCTTCCCCCCCCCCAAAAAAAAATCTGTCTTAACCCTGCACTGGAATCAATCCAACAAACACCTATCCGAAATTGATATGTTTGAAACAAATATCAGAAGGACCACAGTTGGCCACCACATTGAATTATTTCCAGCCATCTCTCAAATGTCATGATTGATCATTATGCTAGTCTATGGAGTGGTATTTCACTTCCAGAAGTTTCTGGTTGAGATGAATGCCAATTTCATATTTGGACCATGGGGCCCTTGAATACATACCATTGAGGGTATACAGTTCCTTCAATGACATCTTGAAAACTATATTCACAGTGTTGCTAGGTGACCAGGCATGTGTTGCAGTAGCACATTATTTGAGTGACATCTTTAGGTCATCAGAAAATGTTATACAATTTGGGTTGTGAGATTATTAAGACTGGTAGAATTTTCTTGTCATAGTTTGATTTAACATAAGATTATATAGAATAGCCATTATGCTAAAATAGTTCTGAGCTCAATTTTACTTGAAATTGATACTTACGATGAGACAGAGTCTCCAGATAATGTAACTAAATCTTTAATAAAGCTCAGCGTTATTGCAGATTCCATATGTAATTTGACACACAGGATCTGCTCAGGAAATAAAACATCATTTGCAAATAAAATTCTCATTTGAGAATTAACCCGTACATAGCAATAATATCTGTCTTCAGTCACATTCTCATTTTGCATTCTCAACTAAACCAGAACTTTTCATTTAGTGGCTATAATCCAGTTGCTTCCTAAAATAAATTGAATTAGATTAGACCCATTGAATTAGTGAGGATTTCTTGAGTCAACACCTCTGTAGATTTTAATGTTTCAAATGGGTCTACTCTTCTTGTGATTTCCTTTAGTGTAGTAAGCCACAGCTAGGATACTTCACTTTCAGAAGTTTCTGGTTGAGATAGATTTACTACATCCATTTAAGTCTGACTTCAGTGCTAGCTGTACAACAATCTACAGCGGGTAGTAGATGGGAAATGTGAACTTGTTATTTTAACTGGAAGTTTTCATAGTTTTTTGTATCATTGACCATGATATTTGATCCCATGAAGCCATTAGGAGAGGTTGTCTGGAGTTTTAGTGTTCAGTGTCACCAGCATGCAGATGGTATCCATTTCTGCCTCTCGATTCCATCTAATTCTGAGGAAACTTTATAAATTGTACATCAGTGTCTAGTGTTAGTAATGGACTGGATAAGGGTGAATAAACTGAAACGTAATCCAGACAAGACAGAGATGGTCAATCCAAAGGCAGTTCAGGGAATAGGGTTTCAGCTTGTGCTGGATGGGGTTACATTCCCTCTGAAAACACAGGTGTGTGGCTTGTGGGTGCTCCTGGCTAGCCACATCTTTGCTCTCCTTCTGCAAGCAGACAAAGACCTTTCTCTTCAGGCACGCTTTCCCTTAGTGACTGGCTACCTGAGATGGGTTTTTTAATAGATTGCTATGCCTTACTGCTTTGAATATGTTTTTGGTGTTGCTTTTATTTACCATTTTTATTTCTTTTATCCTATCTTCCAGACTTAAAAGATCTCTGGGGGTGGGGGAAATCAAAAGCCTGTGTTTGTCACAGCTGGAATTTATCCCTTTCCCTAAGGGAAAGGCAGTTATCCCTGCCTTTGAAGAAAACTGTTACATTGGAAAATTAAGTTTGGCAATAACTAACTACCTTCAGAATGGTAACTAATTACTTTAAATAGTAATGATCCAGATTCTACTGAACAAAGTGTCAGTGAATCAACATTAGTTTGCATCTAGCATGAATGTCTGCTGAATGGTTTTTACTGCCAAAAATAAACAATAAAACCAATAAACAAAGAGTAATGAAGCCAGAAGAGGATCCGTATAGGACCTTTTCCATAAGGGAGAGACTAGAACTGAAAAGATGCTATCTCTCATATTTGATCATTACACATTTGAAAGCAGCTACTAGTCATTAGTGGAACACAATTTGGTCTCTAAATATTTTGTAACAATGATATGGATGAAGCGCACATGCTGAATAGCTCAGTGGTTTAAACATTTGAGTCCAATTCCCCACTGTGCCTTTTTGACAGAGGGTAGATTTGATAATCCATAGGGTCCCTTCTAGCTCTGCTGTTCTAAAATTATAAGGAATTGGGCATGTTTAGCCTTGAGAAAATAAGACAGATGAGTGATATGATAATACTTTTCAAAGATCTGAAAGGCTGTCATACAGAGGAAGGGCATGATCTATTCTCAATAATTCCAGAGTGCAGGATACACAACAATGGGCTCAGGTTAAAGGAAGCCAGATTTCTGTTGAATATCAGGAAAAACTTCCTAACTGTTACAGCAGTAAGACAGTGGAACCAGTAACCTTGAGAGGTGATGATCAGAGATGAGGACAACTCAGCCATGGCATGTAAAAAGGGAGACTGGCTGGCCTTTGCAAAGATGGTGGCTGTGGCTTCATTTAGGTTAGGGAAGCTTAAACTGCCATCTTTGCAAAGATCTGTCTGGATTTCTTTAGCCTGCCTTAAGGGAATCTAAGTTGCCCTTTGCAATGATGGCAGCTACACCTTCCCTACCCTAAATGAAGCCACAGCCACCATTTTTGCAAAGGGCAGCCAGTCTCCCTTTTTACACACTGTGGCTATGGAGGCCAGATGGAGACCTCAGCAGCAGCAGTGGCAATTACGGTAAGGGGGTGTCGGTGGGGGTGGGGAGCTAAGGTAGGGAGAGGAAGGGGGCAGGGAATAGGCTGTGGGGGTGGCTGCCTATTGGCCTGTTGATCAGCTGATCGGCAGGCTGGTAGGCAGAATGGAAAAGCAATAGGATGGCTTTTTTTCCTACATATGGGGGACGAATATCCTGCATTGAGAAGGGAGTTGGACTTGATGGCCTTATAGACTCCTTCCAACTTCACTGTTCTGTGATTCTATAGCCTTATGAGTTCAACTTCCAATATTAAAAGTCATGCTAAGAAAGCCATTTCTCCCTGTCTAGCCTGCCCTGTGGCAGTACAACAGCCATATACTTTTATTTATCCATATTTTCCCCCAATAACTGGAAAAGTTGTAAGAAAAATATAAAATTGTGTTATCTGGTACATTTTTCTTTCAGTGTATTTTCAGTGTATCTAAGATATACTTGCCCATTTCATTTTTTATGTTGTATTATTAAAATATATTCCATTTTTATTTCTTAGCACCTTGTGGAAGTCGTTCTACTGGTTCGGAAGGCACAGTTTTATCCCCAAACTACCCCAAAAACTATAGCATAGGACACAACTGTATTTACTCCATTGCAGTTCCCAAGGAATTTGGTGAGTACTATCTGCTTTATTTATTATTATTTTAATAACGTTATAATTCATGGCACCACAAGGTTTTTTTTGGACTTTCTACTTATTTTCATGTGAAACCTGTATGATGCATTTCAGTGTAACTAGATATTACCATAGCTGGCTCCAATTTGAACACCAGATAGTCATTCTTACGTGGTTTTATACCCTAATGTAACTGCATTTAGGAACAATGTGGATTTTGTCGTTATTTTATCAAATATTTTCTTAAATCTTTTGAAGAGTGCATGTATAACTTATAACAGGTGTTTTGACTTCCTAAACTTGAAAGTACATGTCATGCAGGAATTCTGTGTTAACATGAGAAATAATTGTTGGGTTGTGGTAAAGATGCAGACAAAAAGCAGATACTTGTAGTTTGCGTTGTACAGAAATGACAGATCACTGGGTAAGGATAAGTTAATATTTACCAGGCCTAAAATGCAACTACCTTTTCTACTGCCCTGTGGTCTTTATTTAAAACTTAATCTCTAACTACATTAAGATTTGTTTCCTGTAGACTCCAGTCACCTGGTAAGACTGTTGTCTGCACATATTCAACCTCCCTGTATGAGTGGTTCCAGGAACCTGCTTTCTTTCCTATGTTGCTGGCCCCTGTATTTAAGGACCTGTCCATACCGATAAAGGCATATGACACTGACCATGCAGACTAGACAAGATAGCATTACATGATATTAAGTGTTCATTCAGTCTTGCTCCAAGATGTCCTAACATTGATATTCTTACAGTGTAAAATGATGCCGTCTTTTTATGTTCCAAGAATATCAAAGTTAGAAGAAGATTCATCTTGGAGCTAGACTGAATGAACACTTAATATACTGTAATACTGTCTTGTCTTGTTAGGATACAATGACTTATGCCAATCACAGGATCACATTGAATCAGAGAAAGTAGAATTAATTAACTCTTAGGGACGTGGTGGCGCTAAGGGCTAAACCGCAGAAGCCTGTGCTGCAGAGTCTGAAGGCCAGCAGTCGCAAGATCGAATCCACGCAACGGAGTGAGTGCCCGTCGCTTGTCCCAGCTCCTGCCAACCTAGCAGTTCGAAAGCATGTAAAAATGCGAGTAGATTAATAGGGACCACCTCAGTGGGAAGGTAACAGCGTTCCGTGTCTAAGTTGCACTGGCCATGTGACCACAGAAGATTGTCTTCGGACAAACTCTGGCTCTATGGCTTGGAAACGGGGATGAGGACCGCCCCCTAGAATCGAACACGACTGGACAAAAATTGTCAAGGGGAATCTTTACCTTTACCTTTAGACGAACATGAACTATCTTTTGAATGGTGGTAGTTATTTGTCCTAATATGTGTGCCATGTTTTTTATAGTTCATTTTGATAGTTATTCTATTGATTACATGATATTAGCACTAATTTACATGTACATCTGATCTTTTGGCATGAGTGTGCAAAATATTTGTTTAGCCAGCTGGTCTTGTGCTTTTTCCCCCACTTTTTTTGGTGATGGACTTCTAGTGACATTATTTTCTCTTGTGCGATCTTCCATATTGGCCCTGTAGAGCTACTGTCGGGCATGTCCAGATAACATTGCTGGTAATGCACTGAGATGGGGCATGGTCTGGGAGTGAACGCTACTCCTTTTGCCTACCTTCTGCTCACACTGATGAGGACAACAACTGCAATGCAATTTTAAAATTGCATTTCTAAAAATATTTTTCTCCTAGTTTAGTGCCGCCGCTATTGTGTTGAACTGATAGAGCATGACTTAAAATGCTTATGACATCTTGACAGTTCAGCACTGTATCACTTGCCGAACAATGGCAGCGAAAGGATTGAAATGTTGGTGAAAGTTGAGTAGGTAAGAGGGTGGCAGAAATGGCAGAGAAGTATAAGGAAGAAGGGAAGCTGTGTGATGTGTGCGTATTTCAAATGTAGCTTCCTGGGATAATTAAACATTTCTTTGTGAATGACAACAGCAACATAAATGCCAGGGTGAGGTATAGAGAAATGTGGGAAAAAATTTTTTGGTCATATCTGTAAAGGTCAAAAGTATGACACTCAAACAAAGCCTCAGAGCACTATAAATAACACCCCTTAGTAGCTTAAGTGTGTGTTGGTCCATAACAGTTGAATGTTTATCCCCAAAAGAGTGAAATACTTATATGACCAGATAATATGGCAATCATATCAAAGTTCATCTGGGTATCAAAGTATAGGTTATTTACTTGTTTTTGCCTGGAGCACCAGAAATGTAGCTTCTAAACTCGCTCCATCTCTTTTAGAAGATGACAATAAATCACTGTTTTCACTCTTGAAGTAAACAGAAGAAAAGGAATCCAGGCAATATCAGGTTGTCTAATTCTACAAGCTTTATTCACCCACATTGCTTCTATATATAACAATCCAGAAGTTATTGAGAATATGTATCTTTCTGAGAAGTCAAATATATGTGACATCTAAATATGATTCTTACAGCTGTGAGCAAAACTGTAAGCAGAAATGTTTAAATATACATATATGAAGACTGAAAGATTATAGGCAAATACTTATAAAAGAGAAATATATTTCCGTTATAAGCTTTTAGATAAAAAAAGTTACAGACAAGAACTTAAATCTTATCTCAGTCCAAAATTACAATAGCTTATAGCCTTGCAGAGTGTGTCTTGTAAAAAAGTAAAACTCAATAAAAGTAGAAGTATATTTCCTAGCTTTTTAGCATATTTGAACACATATACAGTGGTGCCTCGCTAGATAGTTACCCCACATGACAGTTTTTTCACTAGACATTGACTAGACACAAAACAGTGATTCCTATGGGGGAATTTCGCTGGACAATGTTTGGTCCCTGCTTCGCAAACCAATTTTCGCTAAGCAACGATTTTGACAGCTCCCTCCGCACTCGTAAAACAGGTGTTTTCGGGACCTAAGCTTTGCGAGACAGTGATTTAAACAGCTGATCGGCGGTTCACAAAGAGGCTTTCCTTTGGCTGATCTTCACTAGACAACAACGATTCTTCCCCATTGGAACGTATTAAACAGGTTTCAGTGCATTCCAATGGGGAAATGCTTTTCGCTAGACAATGATTTCGCTAAACAGCTATTTCAGTGGAACGGATTATCATCGTCTAGCGAGGCACCACTGTACATGGAAAAACAGTATGTTTTCTAAGTGTTCACCCAGTCATCTGTCAGTTAAAATTAATAAAGGATTATGAGGGTACTTAATCCTCTCTCTGTACAGTACTAGAAAAGCCCAAAAATGATGTGTGCATGTGTAGCAACCCAACTCAGGATATAGAGGGGACATTGTTTATGCCAAGAGAAGGCTGGTGATGCAGAATGATGGGCTGAGAAATTTTCTCTTGACGTTCATAAAGTTCTCTTGGACTGAAGAAGAGTTTCAGAAGCAGCTGCAAACAAAATACTGAAATGGGACATGCTATCTAGCCATAGAATTCTTCTCCTCTCACACATTTTAAAACACTGATCACCTCAGGAGATAAGAGGCATCCTGTAGAGTCCTGAATTGTTTCTCTTCTGGTAGACTTCAAGCAATTTTTAGTTGGGTTTTCTCTTCTCTTTTTCCTCTCTTTTCTGCCCTGTCTCGACTTCTTGTCTGCTTATTCTGCTGATGTCTCATTTGCCCTTTCTTCTGCTTTGCGTTATGCTGATCCTATTAACTTTCCACCTCATTGACATCTTCCTCTCAACCTTGTCTCACTTCATTTCTTTATTATTCCTGACTTTATGCCAAAGCCATGGAACTTCTCTAGTACAGGAGGAATATTGCCTTATTCTTCCAATTTCCCATGATCATTTTCTTCTGGTTTGCAATATATTTTCCTATGGACCTCCTCCCAGAATTCAAGTATTATCTAAAATCTCTGCCAAGAATTCATGAAAGCATACATTTGTACTAATTCACAATTCAACACTGACTGAAATGAAACTTGATCTACAAATAAGTCCAACATAATTGGCTGGAATCCTGTTGGGTGCCAGCAGATCATAAACTCACTCCGATTTAGTAATGCAGGATCTCCCACTTGCATAAGCAATATGAAAGTGAAGATACCCTGTTACAGTAGGAACGGCCAAGTTATATTTGCTAAGGAGGCCTTAGATTATTCTTTGTGGCAGCTCCAGAAAAGTTAATATGGTTATGATATTGTCATCATGTAAGTGTTTAGTCCAAAGAGGACTGTGACCAATTACCCCGACCTTCAAATGATAGTGGTAATTGAGCAATGACTTAACTTCAGTGAGAACGTAATCTACAGTTTGAACATACTGGAATCACAGAATCTGGCCAAGATAAATACTTGATCGTAACAGAGCATTTTGTTTGTGCACATATCTTATAAAACAAGATGTGTATTAATTATGCATGATGTATGAAGTGGGAATTCATGCTTTGTACTGTGGCAACAAAGAGAAAACAAGTATTGGTATTTTAGAACTGAAGTTTCAAAATGGACAAATTCAGTATTGTTGGGATATATAGTTGTGCAGTCCATGTATGTATGTGTATGTCTATGCATGGCAATGATTGGAATGTGTTGATTGCATGGTGGAGCCGTGTAACCAGTCAGCTTCTGTTGGGTTTTAGCTAGTGGGTGTTAAGGGGTTTAACTGCCAGATAGAAAAAGATGTGCCCTGTTGGCCTGATAACCCATCTGTTACTATGACTGATAAAAAATATAATGAAATTGTAACACAGCATGCTGCTTAGTTTGTTCTTCTACATGTTTTATACAATAAACATTCTTTAAAAGTTTACCAAGACTAACTGCTGCTTCACACAAGGCCCTTCCCTTAGGAATCCCTACCTGGTGAGCTAAACCAATTACGTAGCTTGTAGAGTTGATAAAATTAAAGGGGAAAGGTGAAGCAAACAATAAAACATTGTAACACTTAAAAGAGTAGCAGCTTTCTTTCAGTGTTAGTTTCTGCGGGTGAAAAGCTACTTCCTCGCATATATAAGGGCTACACAAGCAAAGG